GCCGCCCCGTGGTCCATGACCCCCGCGCCNCCCTCCGCAGCCACCGCGCCCTCCACTCCCTCGTCCACTCCACGTCCCACCCGCCCCCCGACCTCGACGACCTCCTCCGCCCCCTCTCCCCCTCCCCTCCCCCGATTCCCCCCTCGAACCATTCCTCACCGACCTCCTCGCCGTCATCGAGGGCCTCGAGTTCCACCGCCACTCCGACACTGCCCTCGCCGTCTTCGACTGGGCCCGCCGCACCCTCGGCGACGCCCGCCTCTTCTCCTCCGGCGTCGGCGCTGGTCGACCCATCCTCCCGGTTGTCATCAGCATCCTCGGCCGCCAGGACCGCCTCGCCGATGCCGCTGCCCTGCTCCAGTGCCTTCAGGACCACGGCTCCTCCGCCGACATCTATACCTACACCTCGCTCATCACCGCCTATGCCCGCAAGAAACGGTACCGGGAGGCGCTCGCCGTGTTCCGCCGGCTGGAGGTCGATGGTTGCAAGCCGACCATCATCACCTACAATGTTGTCCTCAACGTGTACAGCAACCTGTTCATGCCGTGGAACAAGGTGGCCGCCCTTGTCGATGCCATGAAGAGCAATGGAATTTCACCGGACAGGTACACCTATAACACCCTCATTAGCTGCTGCCGCCGTGGGTCACTCTACGAGGAGGCTACCGAGATCTTTAGAGAGATGAAAGCTATGGGCTTTGCGCCCGATAATGTCACCTACAACACGCTCCTTGACGTCTATGGGAAGTCCCGGAGGCATGCAGAGGCGTTGGGCGTTCTTCATGATATGGAAGCGGCTGGATTTTCCCCCAGCATTGTCACGTATAACTCTTTGATCTCTTCGTACGCCAAAGATGGGATCTTGGATGAGGCAATGGATCTCAAGGAGCAGATGGAGGTGAAGGGGATCAAGCCGGATGTTTTCACATACACCACTCTTATTTCCGGGTTTGAGAAGGCTGGGAGGGATGAACTTGCTGTGAGGATCTATGAGGAGATGGAGAGCAAGCGGTGCAAGCCAAACTTGTGCACCTTCAATGCTTTGATCAAGATGCATGGGAATCGGGGAAGATTCACAGAGATGATGACGATCTTTGAGGAGATCAGGTCCATTGGCTTCAAGCCAGACATTGTAACTTGGAACTCGCTGTTGGCTGTGTTTGGACAAAATGGAATGGATTCAGAGGTCTCAGGAGTGTTCAAGGAGATGAAGAAGGCAGGTTTTGTGCCTGAGAGGGACACATATAATACCTTGATCAGTGCTTACAGTCGGTGTGGCTCATTTGACCAAGCTATGGAGGTTTACAAGAGGATGCTTGCTGCTGGCATTGGACCTGATCTTTCCACTTACAATGCTGTGCTAGCTGCACTTGCTCGCGGGGGGCTTTGGCAACCAGCGGAGAAGATACTTGCGGAGATGAAGGATGGGCGTTGCAAGCCTAATGAGCTTACATATTGTTCATTGCTCCACGCATATGCCAATGGGAAAGAGTTAGATCGGTTGCATGCATTATCTGAAGACATATATTCAAGGACTATCGTGCCACACAACATGCTTCTGAAAACACTGGTATTGGTCAACAGCAAGAGTGATCTTCTAGCTGAAACAGAACGAGCTTTCATGGAGCTGAGGAAGAGAGGTTGTTCCCCTGATATCACTACTTTGAATGCAATGGTCTCAGTCTATGGAAGAAGGCAAATGGTTGCAAAAGTGGATGAGATCCTCAAATTCATGAGAGCCAGGGGCTTTACTCCTAGTTTGACAACATTCAATAGTTTAATTAACATGTATAGCCGGCTGGGAGACTTTGAAAGATGTGAAAAGATTCTTAATGAAATCAAGTTGAAAGGTGGGAGGCCTGACCTTTACTCATATAACACTGTCATCTATGCCTATGGCAGGAAGGGCCGCATGAAAGATGCCTCAAGGATATTCTCAGGACTGCAGGCTTCTGGTCTTAGGCCTGATATTGTAACATATAATACTTTTGTTGCAAGTTATGTGACCAATTCAATGTTTGTAGAGGCTATTGATGTAGTTCGCTACATGATCAAAAGTGGCTGCAGGCCAAATGAGAATACCTACAACTCTATAGTAGATGGGTACTGCAAACAGGGGCGGAAGGATGAAGCAATTGCTTTCATATCGAACCTTCAGCAACTAGATCGTGGAATTCCTAAGGATGAGCAAGAAAGGCTATCAGAACGACTAGCGAAAAGTACTTTGTAGTTCCAATGGAAGTACACTAGATGGATACAATCAACTTTTCTTTTGTTGGCTATTACACATTGCAAAAAAACAAGAGGCTGTTACCACACTTATTTACAACTTTTCAGTGGCTTGATGCTGGAAATGAATCGTTTGAGTAATTGGATGAAGCCCCCTTCTGATCTCAGAGGCTTGAGCCTAGATCATGATCTATATCATCCAAAGTCGCTTCATCCTCTGTGAGCTATTTCTTAGGTATTTCTTGTTCAAATCTCTCTTGGCAAAGAGCACTTTTTTCCCCACATGTAATATTGATTTGATTTTATGTTGTAACTGACTTGTACATTTCTCGTTAGGTTGCTCTTTAAGTAAAAAAACATGTATTAAAATGTCACATTTATACTGATTGTGCTATTATAAGTTGCATTTTGTACTGATACTGTAAGCAATTTGCTCTTTTTTGTTTGTGTTTTATGCATCAATAACTGTGCTATAGCTTGGATGATGTCTTGTTCAAGTAACTAGACACTAAGGTTCTAGAAACCATACTATGATTGGAGGAAGGGGTCAGTGTGATGACAAGCATTCTGTAAGAATAGATATAAGCTGAGGACACTTATCTAGGTGATCTTCCATTGGCTGCTCACAATACATAGAAAACTTGGTGTCGGTTGATCAGGATTCTCTTTACCATTACATTGTAACTCGTTGATTTTCATTAACGTAAACTCCACTCATCTTCTTCAGAACTATTGACTTGGAGTTATCTATGATGCACTGAGTGAAAGCATTCTTCCTTTGTCATGTGGTTTCCCTTATCCTATCATCTATGTGCTTAATTATGTAGCAAAATTATCTTGATAAGTGGAGGAAAGCAGTTATGCAATTTATGGCTTATTCTATGCTTGGTTCAGGCCTTTTGCACAAGAGATAATGAATCGATTAAAGACATAGTAGTTCTATTCCCTCCTCTTCGGCTGTGCCTCTGTGTGCTTCATGTGGGAATTCACATGTTCGCAATAACATCATCTTTCCTGTTAAGTAACAATGGTTGTATCATGCCCTTACCTTATCGATAGTTTCATGTGTTTCACAGTCAGCATTGGTTCTGTATTCCTTCTTCGTTCTATCTCCGCAATGTGGAGAAGATTAAGCTACTTTAAGCTCAGATTTGATGTGTTTATGCAGCTTAGACAAGAAATCATACTTGTTCCAGAATGTCTGGCATCCTGCATTACTTGAATGATATGCATCATGTCAATTATGTGTGTGCCTCACATTTTAATAAGAAATGTGAAGGTTGGTTAGTGAGTGAGTTTAGCAATCAATATTCTTCTCCTGCCATGTTTCTACTCAGTTGTGGGTTCCTATTTCCTATTCCTGAATCGAGTCTCTTGTTTAACATCTGATTTCTGTATCTCAAACTACTACTGGCTTTCTCTTCTTTTGTGATAAAACATAACACTGGCTTTGGAAGTAACTCTGATGCTCAAGTCCATTGTATGGCTGAATTTTGATTGCCAGGATCATGAATATCAAGGTTTGCTTTACATCATTGTATCAAGGTTTCCTGTTCCTGGATAGAGTCTCTTGTTCAGTATCTGATTTCTGTATCTAATTGTTCTTTTGGCTTGTTTTTCTTTTGTGACAAAAACATACTACTGGCTTTGGAAGGAACGCCGACAGCCAAGTTTATTGTATGGCTGAAATTTTCTTATCTGGATCACTATATCAAGGTTTGCTTACCTTTACATCTTGTTATACTAGAAGTTGAATTGCACCTAGAAGTTTAATATTCAGAGTATGGCTGACGTTTTCTTGCCTGGATCAGTATATCAAGGTTTGCTTTCCTTTATATCTTGTTATTACTTGTTGAATTCCACCTTGAGGTTTCATATTCCTAGTGTCTTCAAGGTAAGTTTATTTTCTTTCTTGTACATACTTATAAGGTAAATGCATAATCGAACTTCGGTTGTATGACTTGTCAGGGTTTTGTTTCACATCTTCTAGTAGTCCAGACAGGTCATTGAGTTGATTTGTTGCACATCTCTGCATATTAAATCGCCAATCTTTCCTATTTCTCCATCTTTTTCAGAAAAGGTACTTGTGGACAGCTGTCAAATTAATTGTGAGATACATGTAATCTTCAAACATGAAATTTGGGTCCCTCCAGTAATTCTTATCTTGTTCCTGGTGAGGCTAATTAGGAATTTTCTCTCTGTGGGAACCAAAGAAGATAGACAATGGATCGACCATGAGAACAATATGCTCAGACCATAAATGGAGTAGCCTGCACACTGCCACTAGATTCCATATCATTTATTTGCTGCTGTATGTCCCAGGATCAAGACAAACATTCCCATCAGCATTTCACTTCGGATTTGAGAGGAAGATGTGCCAACATATCATCACTATTGTCAATTTCTTTCACCACTGTTAAGCAAGCAAACCTTAGCTTTCCTTTTTCACTTTCATTGTAATGAATCATGATGTGCACAAGGAGCTAGAACTTTTAATGCATTAGAGAAGTAACTATTTGTTTGAAGGAGGGGAAATTTTGTCTACTTATATTCTATTTTCTGATCTTTTCTTTGGATAATTTCAGGGAAACAAACCTTGTTTCTGGATGTCAGATACAGCAAAGAACAAAGAGCATGTTTGGATCAAGTAATCCCACTGATCAAGTTCTTTGTACTTTTTTAATACACGAAAGTTAGATATTTCCTTAAATGATATGGATCTTAATAGATTACCAACCTTTATAGTTCCTGTTTTCCTGGAAGCTACAATGATTCTGTTCATTCATCACTACCAAGCAGGACTTTACATGATATGACAGAGAAGAATAGATGTGGATGACATCTTCCTGTGTCCTTTGGTTTCAACTCTGCAAGTGTGGGAGGCTGAAGCACATGGGATGTAAGTGGCAAGAGTTGAAGCCTTTGGAAGGCATTAAAGGGCAGTACACACATGTCCAAAATAGCTGAAAGCTTACCAGGACTGAAACAGTGGTGGTTCAGAAACAGGTTGTGTGATAGTGCAGTGACTGCAAAATGTTGATAGCCTGATATCCTGCTACCTTGGACATGACCATAGATTCTTATACAAAGCATGCTTGGTGTTTGTAATTTTGACTCACTGAAAGATTGGAAAGAAGACACTAAAAAAAGGAATCAAGGGGATGATTTGAGAGGAATATGCATGCAAAGGCTGGAGGTTTAATTCAACCTGAGAGGAGTATGATTTGTTGGTTTACATCTTTAATACCACAACAGCATGGTTTGATCACCTAAAACCTAGTAATAGTTCTTTTGCACACATGTAAAGGCTTTTGCTTTAGATGTAAATAGGACTCGAAAGCAATCAGGTTGCTTGGTCAATGGGAAGTAGTGTTGATGTTAACACTACTTCAACACTAGGAAGACTCTGGATGTACAACAACAAATCATTTTGTCCCAACTTTAATTGATTATATAGAGTAATGTCTTTAGTTAAATCAAAAGTGTTCAAATATCTTTTTTTGTAGTTTTAGTAAGATCTTCATCTCATCTGACTATAATATTTGTTGATCTTCTCAAGACATGTTTATTTTAATGTAGGAGCTATAGTTAATTATTCACTTATGAAATATTTTTTTATAGCTTTCCTAATAACTTTGGACATCTACTTCAATATTCTTATCTTGGTTATACTTTGATGCAGCATATCCATGATATTATGTTGGGAGAGACTACACCACAAATATTCAAATCATTGAGATGGATAATATGTGCAAAGGTACTGAACATATCAGATCTACTGCAAGATATAAGATCAAAAGAATACAGAAACAAAGGGCCATGGTGCTGCATTGAAGAAGATCAAGTGTCAGATTTGGTCAAATTTGGTTGGGGATGCATAGCATCTGCAAAGGTGGTGGACATATCAGATTCACCAAAGATCTTACAGTAGAAAAAAAAAAAACAGAGAAAGGAAAAGAAAAGAAAAGAAAGGAAAAGAAATCAAAGGTAATGAATGAGATGGGAAACCACATGGAGACCTTGAAATCCCCATGTCCTTGATGCAATGATGCTTTCACACAACCTGTCCCGAGACAAAGCACAGAGTTCTGGGTCTTGGTCAATAAAGGTTGAAGAAGACTAGGAACATACCACCATCCCCAAGACACCCTCCCACCTGGACATGACCTGTGGACCCCCTTCCAGTGACCAACTCCCAGATGCTGTCCCACAACAGGAGAAAGAAGAAGAAGCTCACAGCACATTGAGGAGTTCCTGAAATCTACAGAGAAGTGAAGGGTTGTTCTACACAGACAGCTTCATGTCTTGAGATCCTTGGAACTGAAAACAGTATTTGATTAAAGAACAGCAAGACGAAACAAGGACAGTGAAGTATAAACTGAGGAATCAAAGAAGAAAGCCTCTCCCCCCAATCCATCAATGAATTATACTCTATGGTTAGTCAGCACAAGAAGAAGATGATGATGATGATGAAGAGAAAGCAGCAGTAAACAGTTTCAATCCTACACTTGGAGCCTCCAAACGATCCGGTCACGCATGTCTTGTGGCTTCTCAACAGCTGCCACCTTCGCCCGGTGCGCAACCCCGGTCGTCGTCTTCCCTCTTTCTCCTTGAGCAAGCTCACAGGTTTCGCCGATCGAGACGCATCTCACGTCAGCAGGAGGAATGAAGCAATCCATGGAGAGGCCGGGGACATTGAAGGCCACTTCCTCGATCGTCCACACCTCCTCCATCCTCGTCTTGGTGTGGCTCATTGCCGCCTCACCGAACCTGAAGAGGGTGACATCGGAGCGACCGGAATGGGCGATCATTATTCCCTCCACCGGGCGGTAGTCATCGAGGAAGGAGTTGATGGTGGTCTCCCAGTACACTGCATCGCCTCCGGCGGTGGCTTGGATTCTCGTCAGGTGTGAATCTTCCATGTGGACGAGGAGGCCGGTTCGCTGGCTGAAGCAGCCGAACAAGACGTGCCGGATGATCTCTGCGGGGCCTTCGCTCCGGGCTTTCAGCGTCTGCGGGTCGGCGCAGAGCTTGAGGATGAAGCAATCCTCCCCGTTAACCTTCTTCTCCCCGATGCAACGCGCGTCGGCAAACATGCTTGCCGTGGTCAATGGATCAAGACCCTGCAGGGAGAGCTGCACTCAGAGCGAATCCATAGCTCGAGGCTTCCTCAAGCAAATTCAGTGACCACAAGAAAAAGTACCTGGAGCGCGCGGCGGAGGGGGCGAACGGGGCCTCTGGCGGCATGGGCGCCGAGCCAGGGGGTGTGGCGCCACACCACCTTGCCATTGGAGCCGGCGTGGACCTTGCTGCCGCCCACGGCGAGCTCCACGTACCACATGTCCGGGGTCATCTGCCAGAGGACGAAGCCGCCGGACTCCGCGGTGCGCGACGAACCGCCACGGTTCTTTACGACTTTCGTCGCGGTCTCAAACTCCGACGCCACCATTCTCACCTTCCCCATGGCGTAGGCGTTGCGGATGGATCTCTGGAGCTTCAGACCCCCCGACGCCGCCGTGTACTGCTGTAATATGTACTGAGCCGACGAGGTCTCCTGAAAGGAAGAAGTATAGGCGATGATGAACTAAATCCAAGCAGAAAAGTTACATCAACATGTCATTTTGGCGCTACAGATGTATTTGGGCAATAAATTTGGAGCTTTCGTCTCAAGAGAACGAGAAAACCGGAATCAATTAAGAGCGTCAAAGCGTCAAGCTGTAGCTTTTGCCGACGAAGTGATGTGAACAGAGCAATGAAGGAAAAGAAGGCGTAGCTCACGATGGGAGTGTTCTTGATGCTGAGATGAGGCAGAGGGTCGACGCAGCTGACATGAAGGGGGGCGAGCGGCGCACCCATGACTCCGAGCAGGAGGCGGAGGTCCGAGCGGCGGAACGAGGAGGACGCGCCTCCGGCGGACGAGGAGGTGACGGACGGGGCCCGGGAGAGCTGGCCCTTCACCCAGCGGCCCCACCCTTCCTTCGTCGGTGCCCCATCGTCGTCTCCGGAGCCGCCGCCGTCGGGGCCCTCCATGAGTGGCGCGAGCGTCTCCCGGAAGCTCACGGACCTAGCGACCAGCGCTGCCTGGTCCGGGGGCAGCGACAGCGACTGGTGGCGCCCGTGGCCCTTCCTCCGTCGCGGCGCGAACAGCGCGGGGGCCTCCGCCGCCGGAGATCGGCCGCTTCCCGTGCTCTTCTCCCGAGATCGCGACCGCGCCGGCGACAGTCCCCGCACCACCTCCTCCCTCAGCGCCGAGAAGAACCCCTGCTTCTTCTCCATGGACTTGCCCTGCGAAGCTCACTCCCCTGGACTTAACCGTAATTTACAGTCGCAGCAACGGCCGAATCGCCGTTGTCCGTTAGGATCTGAGAAGCTGGAATATAATACTCTTTCCCCCAGAGGAGGTTGCAGAGTCGGATATATAAGCGGACAAGGAGAAGACAGGAGAGAGAGAGAGAGAGAGAGAGAGAGATGCTCAGCTCGGTGGGAAGGGGAACGAGGAAAGCAACCAAAAGCAGCGTAAATAATAACAATAATAATAATAATAATAATAATAAGAAAAGAAAAGGATTAAATATATCGTAAACAACAATTGGTATTTCGCGTCACGAGATTAGCGTTGATCAGAGATCTTTCAATCGCAGCCGTCCGCCGGCGCCTACTTACTCCACTGTGTTGGGTCGTCTCCAGTACTACGGTGCAACGTTAATCCCACCAAACCAAATAATCAAACACAGTGCGTGTGCCACGTGGAGCATCATGCTAACCCATAATTTTGGGTGCATTGCATTATGGATTGATTTGTAAACGTACACAATTCGATAGATATGGGAACTGAAGCGACTCATATAGAATCTTGTCATGTTCGCAAGTAAGATAACACTATAAGGAAAATCCTGCTCAATGATTCTTGCTCTAAACGACTCATCACTCCTTTTGCTTCGAAGACACATTTATATGATGTATGTTAACAATATAATTTTTATATTTAATAGTAAATAGAAAATTATATTCGATTATTCTTAAAATTTTTCATACTCTGGCTAATCAAAAGATTAACATCTTTAAATCAGAGATTTTAGTAATCCTTTATTCGCTAGTTGTACGTGACTCAATAGGAAAAGTGTGTTTTTCTACTAAAACTGTAGCTATCAGGCTTCTCTATAAGTTGAGATGAAGCATATTATTATTGATGATGATATGTGATATAGCACAATTTGATAACATGCCCTCAAACATCAGGAGCATCAAAGTCAAGATGATGGATCATGTCGGCACCATGCCCCTCGGGTACGATAGCATCGATCGAGTACGATGTCGTCCCGCAAAGATCAGGACGACGCCGACCGAGTACAATGTCGCCTTGCAAAGGTTGAGACGACGTTGACCGAGTACAATGCTACCCCGCAAAGGTCAGGACGACACCGACAGAGTACAACGTCGCCCCGCAAAGATCGGGACGGTGCCGACCGAGTACAATGTCACCCCACAAAGATCGGGACGGCGCCGACCGAGAACAACATCATCCCGCAAAGATCGAGACGATATCGACCGAGTACAACACTGCCCCATCAAATCGGGACGGTGTCGATCGAGTGCGACATCGTTGTTTGGCGCCAAGGCACAAAGGACGATCGTTGTCCGCATGAGAAGCGAGTTCGTCGCTTAAAGGGTCGATGACCATAAATGTGTCAAGTACAATTGGTCCCCATGCGCAGGATATAAAACCCATCGTCGAGCTAACGCTAGAGGAGGATTTCCTTGTCTTCACTTAGCTCTAACTAATTTTTTGGAGGGGTCGAGTCGAAGAATCCCCCTCCAGACCTCGACTTGTATGCAAGAACCAAGCAATAAGAAAGGAGGTAACTAATCAAAGGGGAACCCCAACATTTCGAAAGTGAGGTTCGAGCTCGACCCAATCAGACGATGACTTTCGTTGCCCAAATATCCACATGGGCGATCTTGTGCATCCGGGATAGGACCGAATTCAGCTACAGTATAATACTAACAATATTTAAATTTTTCTTAGATTCTTTAATAATTTTGACCTCTTTATATAATGGCGAAGGAATTAGGTTGAGATTTTCAAATTTACTTATTTTTGGAGAGGAGACTGAGCTTTGCTTCCGCTTCTTAGCTCTAATAGTACATGTGAGTTTTGTATTCATGATATTTAATGATTAATAATTTTTTATTTCAGTAAAAAGGAACTCTACAAAGAAAATCTTATTTACGTACTTGTTTAGTACAAATGATGTGGTAATTAATCGACACATTGCTTTGGATGCTCAGCACACTATTTCTTCTCTTCGTCTTCAAGTGCCAATTATGGGCATCAAGGTTACGTACCAACAAACCTCTGTCCTTGCATCCACAAGATTCTCGATTAGGTCTTGGTGTGTTCAAACGAGTCATGATTAGCTATCTAAATAAATAACCTGCTTTGAAGATGGTAGCTTCTTTCGTCTCGCCATCATCCCACAATTAGTCCGATGGTAGCTTCTTTGTCTTGCACTGACAAGGTTGCCTTTGCTCTTGGTAGTTCACACCAAACATGTCACGTTCACTGCACCCAGAAACAGGACGAGCTCATGTGGAGTTCTGATCAGCAGCGATGGCCGGCGCCACCTCCTCATCATTTCTTCTACGTGAACGTTGGACTGAGCCACATGTAAACATGATCTGGGAAGGAAGGAAGGAAGGAAGGAAAGAAAGAAAAGAAGGATATGGTGAGCCGCCAGGCTCACCGAGAGACCAATCGATGATCGAACGGGGATGTCGGGAGGGACGACAACGAGAGGTGGCGGCCGTCTGCTTTCTTATTGCACATGCACGCTTAGGTGGTCGTAATCTTTTGACGCCTTTGATCCCGGGATGTGCGTGTCCTTCGTTTCGGCTTGTTCCCCTCGTGTGGAACAAGAAGCTAATGGAGCCCCGTAATCCCCAGACTTTGATATGATCTTCTACTTCGATCCAGGCCCTGAATCGCTGTGCGGCGATGGCTGGTGCCATGCCCCTTTCAAGCACATGCGTTTGCCTCGCTGAAGTCTCGCGTTCAAGCAATGTCGTGCGATCTTTTCTGGCCTTCCGTCTTCTTCCTTTCACCTTTTACACGAGCATGAAGGGGAGGAGCTACTAATGACGATCGGTGCCTACAGTTGCGGACTGATTGCTGCAGCAGAGGGAAAGCCGTTGTTGTACTTGTCGGTCAGCAAACACCGTTTCTGACAGTCGTGTTCATTCATGGAAAGAGGCAGACGAGGACGAGAGGAACGCTTGGAGACTGAAGAGGCTTTTGATCTGCCCCCGGGCGGCATACGCGGCACGTTTCTTGCTGCTGCGGCCCCGGGGGAGGTGAACGCGATCGCAGACCAAGTGCTTGATCTTTGGTCCGTGAGACGACGGGCTTATGCCCCGAGCTCAAGCTTGGCCCATCTGCCTACGTATGAAGCGGTAGCCCGAAGCCTAGTTCTTTCCGCAACGACGCTTAGGTTACACGCAAAGCAAAGGGAGAAAGCGGAAGGCGTCGTCGTTTCAATGCATCCAACGAGGCCACAAGAAGTCGTCTTGTCTTGCTCAAGCCATTATTCACATTTGGAAGTCATGGATAGCTGCAAAAGATTGGAGCCATATAATTAGGATTGCAATCAATTATATCCAATTATTGACTTATTATTTTATTTAATAAAAGGAAAAAAGAAAAATAGATTAATAAAATAGCATCTCAGCCTTGGCTGAGACACCGGTGGGGCGGGCGAGTGGAGGAGAAGCGACCGGACCACGTCGCGCCACTTATGGCCGCGCGTTAGCTCTGGGACGCCAACAACTCCACGCTTGCCTGCCCGCCCGCCCATCTTCACTCTCTTCCTCCCCCTTTGGTTCCCCCCAACTCCTCCTCGCTCCGGAGCCCTCTTCTCCCAGTCATGGCTGATCCTTCCTCCCAACCACGCGCCGACTCCCAGGACGTCGAGGAGTTCCTCTGGGTGCGCTTTCTTGCCCCTTCTTGCTTCTTTTCTACAATCCGATCCTTGTTTTCCTTTTCTTTGTTGGTGTTTGATCTTCTTGGAGGAGCGCAGGTGGAGGAGGCGGAGATGGGGATGCCGGTGGAGAAGTTCTCCGAGGTGTTCGATCTCGTGCGCCGAGGGAATCGTGCCTTCCGCGACAAGAGGTTCGAGGAGGTGAGCTTTCTCGGCTCGAATTAAGACTTTGGGTTTTGCTTCCGATCTTGGTGCTTATGTGGGAGAGAGACGGCTGTCGTCGGTGTGATCTGTCTCAAAATCTTCGCTGAACCGATCTCGGTTGATGAGGCGCAGAAGATTTGTAATGCAGGAATGAAATTGGGAAGTCCTTGTTGCCCTGTTCATGCTTTATCGGTGCAGAAATCGCTTCTTGCATTGGTTTTGTAGGATTTAAAGCGTTGATCCACTTGTATGACCATGGGAGGTAGAGTCACTTGACTAGTTTCATTCGATTTTTCTGCAAGTCTTGGGCGAAGGCCGTGAATGACCGAGTGGTGGATTGATTGATGTTATTCAAGACTCATGAAACCTGGCCCAAGAACCATGAGTGTAGATACTGTTTCATCTAAAGATAGTCATGTCAGGGAGGAAGCCAAGAAGCTCAAATTAATTATCTGCCAATTTGATGCCATGATGTGTGACCAGGAACTTGGCTAAAGAAAGGGTCTTCCTTTTTGCTTAGTTGATTTCTATGATTAAAAAAATTTTGTGTTTCCAAAAAAGAAAGTCCTTTAAACTGTAGCATGATCATTGACATCATTTCTTGGATGTTTCATCTAGATGGTATCTTAGGAATGTTGGGCAATCCATTGAATTCTGCACTCATGAGTTCATTGGTATAGGAGGTCTGTCAAAAAATGTGCACTAGTTCTTATGTATCAAACTTGGAGGACACCCACTCTTAAGGTTATATCTGATTTGAAAGGGTGGAGTGTCGGACACTTGACAGTGAATTTGGCATATAATGAGGGGAAGGCGGGAGGTGGAGGTGTAAGGCAGGCCAATAGAGAATAGGCAACATGGGAAACTAATGCACAAGCAGTGAATGAAGTGGTGGCATGATCCAGAGAGAAACTAGAGCTAGAGGATGTATGGGTGTTGAGAAAAGGGCCGGTGATGTGCTTGGCGGCAAGAAGTTTTGACCCATTCCATTATATTGTAAACTTATCTAAGCTCAACAAATGATCCAGCCACCTAGTAGACATAGCGCAGGTCTGGTGTGTAATAACTATACCCAACCCTTTTCCATAATTTGATTCTTTGATTCTTACGTATCCTACATCCCATCCCAATTACCAACTCCACTTTCCTTCCTTTCCTCTATTCCACTCCACTGTTGGCCTCATGTCAGCTAGCATAAGGATATTGACCATAATCTTATAATAACTGGCAGTATATAAATGAGAATGATGCATCCCTATGACCATATACATTTTAAACTATATACAACAACAAAATCAATTCGTAAATGCCAACTATTTTGAGCTTTGCTACTTGGATCTTTTCCCATCATTGGTGGGCAATATTATAACCAAATGAATAGTCTTTTTTAGGTCTTCCCCTCGTTGTCATTACTTCCACTAATTTGGGGCAATATAATAAGGCTACCTCAGATTTGTCCAAGCCACCTTAAAGCGTTCTCCTCATTTTGTTTATTAACTGAAATGACTCATAATTTGTTGCCAATGCTGATAGTTTACATCGTTTTATTATTTTCTCTTTTATAATTTGTATTAACCCCACATGTCAATTCAACAACCTTACCTGGGCAACACTGAACCTTTTAGATGTATTTTTCTCTATTTGCTCAACATTGAGATTTATGAATTACAGCAAACATTGTAATTGTTTTATAATTGCTTTTATTTTATCTAAGAGGCACATGAAGAGATCATATATATTTCTATTATTTGATATGTTGTGTATATGATGGCTATCGTGCATTAGACATTTAAATTACACAGTCATTGTATCTATCTGATAAATTATATCTATGGATACTCATATACGTATATGAAGTATTATATTTTAGTATTCCCGATCTCTCTTGCATGAAGAGCATTCAGTTATATGTTTGTTCTCTTAGATCAAGTGATTTATTTACTTTCTTAATCCAGTTAAACATATATATATATATAATATTTCTGAGCTTTTATCATATAATATATTTATCATGGGATAACCCAACTGTTCTGTTATTCTATAGATGATATACAGTTTAAATTGGTGTTGTTTATAATGCTCTTCTCTATTGAGATTTTGTGCAGGCAGTTTCTTTTTACTCAAAAGCTCAACTTTTGAAGCCACGAGACTGTGTCATTCTTAGCAATCGAAGTGCTGCTTTCTGCAGGTTCATTTTTATATGATGGTTTCGCTTTTGCTTATCATACATTTTACTGAGGCTTAATCTATGTGCTTCTGCATTTTGACTCTAGTTCATTGTGCTTACAAATATCTAACGACATTGTTTAGTATGTTAAAAGATGCCTGCTAATTTAATGTTTATAAATAACAGGATCAGTCAACTTCTTAGGGAACGATCAGCACGTGAATCTGAATATCAACCGTTAAATGGTCTAGACCCTACTACACATGCTGAGGTACACCTGTCCATTTACTTCATCCAATCTCCAGTTAGATCACTGTATAATGGATCCAAAATTCCATTCTTTTTGTCCCACTGATGGACAATGCAAGTTTATTTGGCCATATGTTAGCTTGCTTTGAAGGATGCTGAAAAAGTGATAAGTCTCCGGAGCAACTCACCAAAAGCATATTTCCTGAAGGCCAATGCTCTTGTTCTGGTAACAATTGGAGAAATAATGATTATTTAATTTTGGACTGTTGTTATTTACATGGGATTTTTTCTTGTTGAGATTGTTGTCCTTGGAAAGTTTTCTATTGAAAAACATTTTTTTTTCTGAACATTAGTAGTTTGGCCTTGCTACTCTGCCTAAAAATGATACTTCACCGGTGCTTCTATTTTGCCACCTGTCTTATATGTTTTGGCATTTGGAGGATACTTGTTGTCAGCATCCATGTGTTGTATTATATCTATTTTTGAAATACTATTTTCTATTTTGTTGCATAATCTAAAGGTCAGTTGAATTTTTGCTAATATTGTGTTTCCATTTTCTTCTACTGAAGCAGGAAGATTTCTAGCTTTGTTCTGTCTGTCCAAAATCACTAAAAGCATTGGCTACTGTCTAATTTGAACATTACAATGTGAAGCTTCATGAAGAACTTAAAGACAGAATAGCACCTAAAGAGTTGCCAGATATAAAGAACTAACTCCACACTTTCCCACCAGAAACATATTAGCCTGTTTGCAGGCCTGGAAATGGGCTGGGTTGGTCAAGTCTGATAGCAAGTCTCGCTTGGGCTTTGCATGTGACCAGACTGATTAGTGGATCAATGAAAGGAAGCTCAATGTGTGTATTCATATACTCAGAAGTAATTAATTTTAAATTTATTTCAGATTTGATCTGAAATCAGAAAGCATTGAGGTTGTATTCTAATATCAAGCTCAAGTTCCAACTATTGTTACAGAAGAGACGTGATAGATCATTCAGTAGGGACAGTAATCTTTGTGGCAATTGATGGATATGCTAACTAGCACCAGTGGTTATGGGAAAAAGAAGAAAACTCTTTGAATATATTTGGGAGAGATAGCTTTTGTATCAAGTAGAAATCAAGAAAACTAGCTTTAATGCTCTCTTGTTAGGTTCTAGAATCATTTGGATTCCATCTACTCAGTGTATCTATTAAAACTTTCAACTTTAAGAGGGTAATATGATCAGGGTCAAAACCAAATTATTCCATCTACTCAGTGTATCTATTAAACTTTCAACTTTAAGAGGGTAATATGATCAGGGTCAAAACCATTCAACATGTCAATGAATCAATCACCCTTCAACATAACCTGTATACCTGATGGATCAAACTAATGTATCAGGCTTGCTTAAGTTGCGGTAACCTGAGGGGTCCAGATTGAATTGCCAGGGTGGCTTGTTAGTGACAAGAAAAAGTAGGCTAAGGAAGCAAGGAATAAGTTCAGATGGAAGTAATGTCGAGTTCTAGGCCCCTTGACACGATGTAATTGTGCCACTGAGTTTTCAAAGTATGAAAACAGGCACATAAATCTTCTTTTGGCATTTCATAACACTTGAAGACTTCAGAATATTTTCTCAACAACTGCTAGTAGTTCTTGCCACTTCCATAAATAAAGGAGATTTGATGCTTTAGAATAATTTGAAAGTAGAAAACATGCTTTCCATCATAGGTGCAAGCGGAATTAGATATTTGTCCGATTAAATTCAGTCAGTGACGTATTTTCTGTACTAATAGCTTAGATGGTGAATATTGTGTCATAGAAAGTAATGTTTTCACAGGAACAATTTATCGTCAATTTTATCGAGGTTTCACTACAGTTTGTCATCATAGATTCACTGCTGTCTAACATCAGTCTGGGACAGCAATTGTCTAAAACTCAAGACTGAGAAGGCATTATAGATTTACGGAAGATTTAGGTTAAGATCAATGCCTATGCATTCTTTAAATTTAAAGTGATATGTTTATTTTTTGGATTCACATTTTGCAGCACTGTGGAACTCAGTTAAGGGGCTTTCCTGAGCTATCAGTTTATTTTAGTAACTGGTTTGATACCTTGAATGGTGCTGGCTTTTGATTGTTGTAGTTTCAGGTCTTTGTACTGCAGATTATCCTCATGGCTAAACTGATCTTAAGGTTCTTCTTTCCACTGATGCTATATTTCTTAGGCATGGTAATTTAGGATGTGGATCATGTGTGTTGTGACCATTGCCTCGTCATTGACACACATACGAGAATATATGAGGTCGAGTTATTATTATCAGATTATATTGGTTGTAGAAGGCTCAACTTAGACTGATTTCTATCCCTTTTAGTTTCTAGTGCCATCTAAATAAGATAGGTCTGGTTTAGTGTGGTTCAGCTCCTTATATTTCTACCTCGAACAGAATTAGTGCTCAAGACAGGTTGGAACTTTGATAGTTTAAGTTGTTATACTTCTCTTGGGTATCAACAGATTTGAAATTGAATGGCAAAGCTACCTTTTCCAATGGTATACATACTGGGAAGCTCCATTATGTAATGAGATCCCAGTGTCTAACAATATTTCCTGATCGATGGTTAGCATGAAATAAAGTATCATGTGTGTGTTTTTCTGAAACTGAGAACACTAGAAGCTAATCCATTACTCTTGTTAACTTTCTTAAATTTACCTTATGCTTCGCTCCTCTTGCTCTGCAGCTTGAGCGGTATGAGGAGGCACGCGAGACAATTATTGCAGGCCTTCAAATTGATCCTCTTAGGTATAACATCCACTATGTGCTTGCCAGTTGTTCTTTTCTTTTGTTGGTCTGGTACATCTTTGCAATGTTTTTAGAAATTCAGTAATGTTTTTGAGGGCAAGCCTTGGTGTAATGTTAAGGTTCCACTTATGCACTATAAAGAAATGGTCATACTGGTCCATGAAATTTTGCATGACTAATTTGTTTACCTTATAGCAATCTCCTCCAGACATACCTCCAAGAGATGGATAGACTTGCAGCTGGTTCAGTCAAAAAGGTCAAACGCTCAAAACCACAACGTACAGATGACTTTGAATGTACACTATGTCTCAAGTTACTGTATGAACCTGTCACCACTCCTTGTGGGCATTCATTTTGTCGCTCTTGTCTGCATCAGACTATGGACCATGGTGTGCCTAGTATTTTTTTTATTTGTCTCTACCATTATCCTTTAAAACACTTAAATCACATGTTGTCTCCCGGCAGGCAACAAGTGTCCTATGTGTCGGACAGTCTTATTTATTAGCCCAAGAACATATCCCATCAGGTAATGTACATTTTGTGATTATTACACTTTCTACAATAAAGTGCTTTTTTAGTTGTTTTGTTGTTCCACAACATTTCTGAAGTTTAGTGGACCAAAATACTTCTTTGGCATTTCTGATCGCTGTCAATTCACTTTTTCAGCGTGACATTAAACAATATTATACAGAAAAACTTTCCAGAAGAATTTGCTGAAAGGAAGTCTGAGCAAGAAAACTTGACGCACTTAGGAGTTGATATAATGCCTCTTTTTGTCATGGATGTTGTCCTCCCATGTCAAAAGTTGTCACTGAATATATTTGAACCTCGCTATCGGCTAATGGTATGTATTTTTTTAGGCTCTTTATTCTCTAAATATAACGTCTCTAGATCAGTTTTCTCTGTGGATTTCATTCTTTTTATATAGATTGTTTAAAATGTGCTCAAGTCTGCAAAAATATTTCAGAGGCAAATAGAAAGATCATCATAACTTGGAACAGTTGTGGATATTTCTTTGAAACCTGTAACTATAATGTAACAGCTGAACTTGACTTGACTGGCGTGTGCTGCAATATTATGAAAATATGGTTATATTATCTTTTAAATTTAGTCCAATAAATAGTATTTTTCAACCATAAACTCTAAACTTTTCCAATGTAAGATGATCTTGAATACTGGTTCAGTTTTTTTTTCCGACCAATTGCAACTGTATTTTGTGTATGTAGTGGTGAAATCTATTAAAAAGTTACTTGAAAGCTGTGGACTAAAGTCTTAGCAAGTCTATAAAGGTGAATTGCGTTGCTTGCCATGCCTTTCTGCACATTGTTTTAGGCTCTAAAGTAACTTGAAAAAAAAAAAATTATAGTCGTGGAGCCAGTAAATTAATGAAGTTGTAGGCTATTTTGATCTTGAAAGGTTATACTGTTATCCTGGTCAGCCTAAGACTAGGCACATGGTTTAGTATTTTTCAACTTTTAGATAAATGAGTTTTAATGTCTTTTTGTTGCCTTTGTTTTGTTATTTGTAATAATTCTTCTTTTATCTTACTAAGTTCCTTCACAATTCATAGGTGAGGAGAGTAATGGAAGGGAATCATCGGATGGGAATGGTTATACGTTGTTCCTAGCCTTTCTTTAACAATAAATTCTGGATTCTTTGTTCATTTATTTTCTGGTGTAACTGGCAGGTCGGTGTTGATCCTTCAACAGGTTCAATTGCTGATTTTGCTTGTGAAGTAGAAATTCTTGAGTAAGTGTTGCTTCTCTTCTGATCTTATGCCTGCTTATTCAGTGTTGTAAGTTGTCACCATATGATAATGTGCTTTATTGGCTTCCCTAAAGTATAATTTGCTTTAAAATTTTGATAGGTGTGAACCACTTCCAGATGGCCGGTTTTATTTGGAGGTAATATTGCATTGTGTGCCTTGAGGTCTCTTAAACATACTGTTTACTTTTCTCTTACCAATTTTGTTTGCTCATTCTATACCAGTTATGTTTATCCACTTCATGTCATTATGGTTGCACTATTTTAATCATGTCCATTTCATTATGTGTTGACACTTTATGTGGTGGTTTATTGGAATGTGGAACATTCTGGATTGTGGTATGGGTATGGGTCGTGGTATGCAACACGGTTTATGGTAGGTGGGGTTTAGGGTTGGTTCTTTTGCTTCCATGCATTAAAATTATGGATTCAAGCATTGTGGTGTATCACCATATCGTGCCCCAAAAGAAAACATACCAGTATGCAATATTTCACACTGTATTGGAGCATACCAGTTCGTCTACAATTTTATAGATTTGTCCCTTGACATATCATGTATGGTTGATATCTGAAAATCACAACAGCCCAAAAAGGGACCTATATAGGGTTGACATCTGAAATTATTTCCTTGTTTTAAATTACTTAAATTGCTACCTAAGGTAAATACTTAGTCTCACTAAGTTATTAACTGCACATCTAATTGTGTCAATAACAATGGCAGTAGAAGAACTAAAACTATATAAACATTAAGTTTATGGAATTTATAGGAATGTCTGAAATTTGTTAGTTGGTATGTTTATATTAATTGAGCGACAGTGAGAAAACTGGATCCAAAATTCAGTGATCAGGGTGGTATACAATAGTTTTGGCACACAAAAGTACCTTGAATTGGGTCAAGGAACTCAATAAAATAAGGATTACTTGGAAATGTTAATCAGCAAGACATTGTTAAGTATTAACAACTATATAAGGAGACATTTGCACGCACTGTTTAAGCCAGAAGTTATTGGTGATTGGTCATTTGATAATCAATTTCCAAGGCGGAATGATTATTTGGCTTGTTTCCATTTTTTGCATAATTTGTATAGTTCTGGGAAAGATAATAATTGGTTTTTCAAGATTAAAGCCAGTTTGCGGATTACATAGCAATGATCTTAGGATTTGGTTATAATAAAGCTCGAATGTTCACTGACAATTGGAATGCAATAATGTATTGTACCAAATAATATAATACAACTCTCAAATATATTATATCTCTGTGTATGTTGTTCACCAAGATTATTTCCTTTATTTGATATATCTAATTATTTGATATGCTTTATCAACCATAATTTACACCATAAATTGATATTGTTGTTCTTAGTTGGTCGTGGTCCCCCAGTTGTGGCCCTGTTTTTGGTTGTACTGTTTTTCCAATTTTTTCATTATTATGTCCCTACATAGTCGGTAGAACAATGCTATGGGAACTTACAATACCAGATTTAAAGAAGAGTCTGAGAATTTTGGTTGGTCATGATCTGTGGCTCCATCAATGATTTGAATGAGAGAGAGTGGATTGTGACCCAGGAGCATGTGCAGTGATATTCTCTGAAGTCCATGATTACCATATTCAGTTCACTTCTTCATGCTTTATTGCTCAAGATAGTAAGCTACGGGGACTGAGAAAGATGTGGAACATATTTCTTATTGTAAGCTGCTGCAATATGGTTAATGCTTAATAGCATTAACTGCACAGCTAGAAGGATGACTAGTTCAGGCCTGATTTAGGCTACTAAAAATCTAGAATAGATTAGTTCAGATTAAACACTTTCTAAACTAATGTTGAGATATGTAATTGTATCTAGGTAGAAGGACGAAGGCGGTTTCATATCTTACGGTCATGGGATCAAGATGGGTGAGTAATGTCCAGACATGATTTAGCATTTTTGAATTGTTTTAACTTTCCAAGCTACTCTATATAACTGTGCAGTCAGGTAAAGGGTAATGTTATTCATAAATCATCACAGGTATCGTGTTGCAGAAGTGGAATGGATTCAGGATACACTTCCACCAGAAGATTCCCAAGAGAGGGAGGATGTAAGCATGACATGATCCTTTGCTAACTTCCTTCAATATCTGACAACAGAATATTTCTTCTTTAACAAATAGGACTTATGAAGTAGGTGACTTGATGATTTCGTTACAGTAGCTGTTGGGTTCCAGAAGTATATATGATTTTATGATTCAAGTAAATTGTACCTTTATCATCCACCCTGTTTTCTTGCTATAAGCTAATGTATAGACAAGAAAGATTGTTTTATAGTAAAATAGAGCTTAATGGAAATTTTCACTAATGGGGACACCTCATACAACATCTTTGTTCCCATCTGTCCTTGAGTGAGTTGCTATCTTATGCAAAGTTAAAATACAAGTTGTCAGAGTTCTGCTCAATATAGATAGGCATGGTCAGTATATTTGTAGTGTAATCTGCCCAATCATGTAATCACTTCTTTTTTCATTTGGTTAAAAAGGGTTGCATTGCAACTTACTTTAATCTATTAGAATATGCAGAAGATTGGCCATTGCTATACATCAAAGCAACAAGCTATTAAACCCAGTGGATTCCTTGAAACAATAATTTTTCCTGTTTTTACTTTTCATATCAGCTAAATGACCAGTAAATTGTTGTTTTAGTACTGATTGTGAGGTGGCTAATTTTGATGTTTGGTTCTAGATATTAACACTTCGTTGTATATATAGGGTTGCAAGATCATCATAAGTCTGTAGTCCTAGACTGTTATTTCTGGACTACTTTGGTGTCGTTTCCTACATTATAGTGCCAATCTTTGAACCTGACTTGTCTCTTTTATTATACCTTTATTTTAGACTAAAGAATTGCAAGTCTATATGATCAATATCTCACAACTTACGATGTATGAGATTATCGCCTCGGTGCACAATTGCACATTACCTCTCTTTGATATTGTCTAATCTAACAAATCAACTTTCATCAGACTAACCTCTCTTTCATATCTAAGCAATTTACAGCTTAGAAGATTGTCTGGATTACACATCCACACTATTTTTTCATAGACAGATCATGCAATGCACAAGCACCTGTCAAATTGATTGTCTATTGTTGGCTTATCAACAGATACGGCAAATGGCCAGTGGAGCAGCAGAATTGACTAAATCATGGATCAAGCGTGCAAGAGAAGTTACAAGAATAGGTACTCTATGAGTCCGATATGCATGCCTGACATACAACACTTTGCATTCTGCATCAGGTTCACCAAACAATAAGAGTCCAGTGATTCCACACTAAAGTTATTACAGTTTCCCTACCAGCTATTGGTAAATGATATAGGTCTGCAGATACTTTAAGCATCATGTTTTTCATCTTCCAAACATTTTTGTTCAGCAGAGTTGATGTTTGATTGTTTAATTTTAAGCAGTATATTGTATTGCTAGGTTACTGCCCATTGCATATGTCTGACCACAGTGGTAGCGTTACCTAGTGTATTTTCTCATCTTATTGCCCTGTTTCTCTCAAACACAAATTGGTCAATTCCATCTTTTTTTTTCCAGGTAGAAGATCAAGGCAACTGGAACTTCTTGAAACTGAAGGAATACCTAAGCCGCAAGATCCTGAACGTTTCAGTTTCTGGGTATCTGTGTTGTACCCTTGAACTTTCACAGGTCACATGATAGTATTAGTATATTAACATTCTTCTTGTCTAGCAGCTCATCAATCTGTTAAACTTGAGGCCATCTGAGAGATTGGAACTATTGCGGTTACGCGACACGAGGGAGGTATGCCTTTGAAACAAATTGGTGATGATTTCCTGTAGTCAGTTGTAATGACTCTGTTATTTAAATGTTTGTCGACAGAGGATTTCCCGTGGGCTTATCTTCCTTAGGGCTGAAGAACAAGGTTGCCGAGTCCAGTAAACATCGATCAATTCTCGGACTGAGTTTTACACTTTGTTAGATACATGCTTTGATGAGTGATACTGTCCTCGGCAAAACTGAATGGCGGGAAGAGATTTATGAGCTGATCGCAAATAGTTTGGACCTTACGGCTCCATGTGGTCATTGTAACTGTTATCTACATAAGTCAATTTCTTTCTTACGGCAACATATGAATTACAAATCCATCTAGCTAAAAAGTGTTGATCTCTGTACAAACTTGCAGTCTCTGTTCATACATTTATTATATAAGTGGATGCTGTATTATGGCTGTATAAAAAATTCAACAATAGATCCCCAATCATATAAACTTGCATTCTCTGTTCAGACACTCCACTTATGTCACATTATTTGTTGCAGAAAGGTTGATTAAAGTGCTAGTCAAGCATAGAAGTTCAGCAGATGTTTCTACCTACGACTGATGGCAGCTTCCCGCACTTGTGAAGAACACTGAACAACAAACAGTAAGCAGCAAAAATGACTGGATTTCTTTTTTCTGTTGATAATATAATAATAGCTCGATACGTAACATATAAGCAGCCGCACAATCATCGAATGATGGTCAATCTAGATCTTGGATCTGTTCATTCTTTAGCAGAGTTTCTACTGGTATTATAAGAGAAAACAAAAACAAAATAAAGAACCTGATTGTTACGATTACATGCATTTCCAATTATTAATTCATTATGGAAACATAATCGAAGCCCACGGCGTAAGTGTTACATTTACTATCTTGTGATCTTTGTATGCAGGTTAGGTTTTGATGCTTCACGCCCTCGTTCCGTTCCCGAAGCTTCGAGGCAGAGAGATGGAACGGCTTACGCAGCCGACAGCCTCCCCCTGCACCGCACGTCTCTCCACATCCAACCGTCTGATTAGATCATGATCAAAAGAACAGGAATGACATTCTTGCACGCAAAGAAAACCCGTCCCCGGAAGCCTCTGGAGATAAAGAGGAACCGTCGGATCACTTGGATTCCTACAGCGATGAAACCACTGGCCTACGTCAACTTCCTATATTAGCAGCCCCGCTCTCACCTTTCCTCGCTCACCCTATAAAAGCCCCCACGGATCGAACCCTGTTTTTTTCGTGTCGCAGACCACGAGAGAGAGAGAGAGAGAGAAAGAGAGAGAGAAGATCATGTGCCCGGGCAGTGGTGTGGCGTCGACAACGGTGGACATGAAACCATCTGTGGAGGCGACGAGGCCGCCGGAGTGCAGGGGCCACTGGCACAACAGCGCAGGGTACTTTAAGATGCCGCTGCACTATCCCAGGTACACCAAGGCGCAGTACGAGTCCATGGACGAGGTGCAGCTCGATCTCCTGCTCAGGGAGTATGGCCTGCCGTCCAACGGAGACGTTACTCAGAAGAGGAAGGACGCCATCGACCACTTCCTCTGGTCAGATGATTGAAGGCAGAGAGAGATTAGTCCGCTTTCTCACGTTGCTGTGGCACTTCTCCTTTTCTCCCTCAATAACCTTTTAAGCATGTAGAGAAGTCGCTTTGCTCCATCCATGTCATGGGGTTTGGTGAATTAATTAATTAATTATATATATATATATATGTAACATGTGAAATGTAGTGAGTCGATGCCGTGACGTTGAGATTCGGATCATCATCATCATCATCATCTGCTCATCGCGACCGGACATCAAGCGCTCCCCCGAAACGTCCCCTGCCAACGTTCTCGGCCAAGTGGTAGCGGTAGTAGTATTCTTCTGCATCGAAACGAAGCCTTCTCTCTCATCGCTCTCCTCCGTCTTGATGCGCGTGTTTGCACACACTCTTTCTCTCGCTTCCACATCGGTCGCATCTCACGTCTCCTTTTCCGCATCTTCACGTTATTCTCTCTCATGCTTCTTCATCTTCTCCACTGCGCCTCCTCCTCCCTTCCCCTCCCCCCCCCCCACCCCCTCCTTTCCACGTGATCTCCATCTTCCTTTATCCTCCTCCTCCTTGCTTATAATAAATGTGACCACTTGCGGTGAAGTCTGACGGCGCTTCTTAGTCCTCAAGAGACTAAAGGAGGAGAGACATACAAATGGACGCCATCAGCAGCGGTGGCGGAGGGGGCGAAGGATGGCGAGTGGCGCCGCCGATGAGCGCAATGGAGATCCTGCGAGAGACCGTCCGGATCCTCCGCGCCGAGCCCTCCCCCTTCATGGCCACACTCGTCATCCTCATCTGCCCCGTCTCCAGCGCCCTCCTCTCCGCCGTCCTCGTCCCCCCTGCCGCCTCCGACGCCCTCGCCCGTCGCCTCGCCTTCCTCGCCGCCGCCAGCGGCCTCCCCCTCGCCCGCCCCCTCCTCCAACTCTGCCGCCACCTCGCTGCCACCCTCCTCTCCGCCGCCGCCTGCTTCCCCCTCCTGGCCACCGCCCTCCTCCTCGCCCGCACCTCCGTCGCCTACTCCGTCGCCTGCGCCTACGCCGGCAAGAAATTCCGCCCCGCCGACTTCTTCGCCGCCGTGCGCCGCGCCTGGCGCCGCCTCATCTCCACCTACCTCTGGGTCTGCGCCTCCATCTCCGCCTGCCTCGCCCTGTTCCTCGCCCTCCTCCTGCTCGCCTGCAAGGCGTTCGCCGCGTTGGGCTACCCGCCCGAGATCGTCGTCTACCCGGCACTGCTCACCGTCCTCGCCTTCTCAATGGCATACGCCCACACCATCATCGTCTGCAACCTCGCGAGCGTGATCTCCGTCTTGGAAGAGGTCTCCGGGCTGTTGGCGTTGCTGAGGTCGGTGAGGTTGATCAGGGGGCAGACGCAGGCGGGGCTGCTGATGTTCCTCGGGTCGACGATTGGGATGGCGTTCGTGGAGGGGCTATTCGAGCATCGAGTGAAGACCTTAAGCTACGGAAACGGGTCGTCACGGCTGTGGGAGGGGCCACTTCTGGTCTTCATGTACTCCTTTGTTGTACTGATAGATTCAATGATGAGCGCAGTGTTCTACTTCACCTGTAGGTCCTCTGTCATGGAAGAATTGGATGGGGATGGCCGTGCTCTGAAAGGAACGCAGAATGCTTCTCCCGAAGTGGACCGATGCTGAGTGAACAGAATCAAAAGCTAATAAGTATTCACCATTATTTCTGGCAAAACAGAGAAGTCGATGCATGCAATTAGACCTGAAAACAAAACAAAAACAAAAACAAAATTGCAGCCCCTCTACACTCGAAACAATGCCACCAAAAGTTTCTAGTGTCATTCTGTTAGTTCTGCAGGTTTGGGTAAGAGCTTTACTCATACATTGTCAATTGCAGTACCGATTATGAGCGGCTGCATGTCATTTATAAGAAATTTATTGTGCACAGGTACAGAAATTTGATGATCAAGAATGACAGGTATGTGAACTCTTACATCTCTGAATGTTTTCTGGGATTTAGTAACATACTTCTTCCTTTCTATATGCTTGTTTAAACAATTCAATGCTTCATACAAAATTTGATTAGTTTTCCAGCCTCATAATTCATGTATCAGATAATCTTACTGCACAAAGCATGTTTTAACCACTAGGATGTGTTATCAGAGATTGGAGGAAAAAGAATGCAACAATTACTCACAAACGTTAATGGCCGCTTTTGTTGAGTCAATTTGGTGTTCGACAAGCACTGTTCATCATTCATGAGGCTGATCAATGGAGCTGTAAGACAAAACAGAAACCTCAAGCTTTGTTAGATTACAGTAGTACAAGTGAAAATGCCTATACAGATATTTATCTTCATTTTTTTTTATTTTTTACACAAGTTCTTGTTTAGCGGAACCAATCATGACTTTACAAAAAGAATCATACCAACTCATGTTAGCTCTGTATCATAATCATAGTTACAGGAACTGAGATTTGGCATTCAGTACCAGGGGTACCTGTTGACATCTGAACCCAGCAACCAACAAACTTAGCGCCTAGATACACAATAGATTAAGATTACCAGACAAGTAGATCACCATCCTGGGATCTCCCGTATCATGATTCCGGTGCCATGTTTGATGCAGCATCTCGGGTTCAGTTCTATCATTCCTGACCTGAGTCGCTTGGCAGGCAGTACTCTTTTCTCATCAACAATGGAGGGATATCATGAGGTGGAGTATTATTTGGGACAAGCTAATTAAAATAGTAGTCAATAAGCAGGTGGATGGTCATCTGACATTTTTATCTCGATTTGTTTCTCTGGTGTCCTGCATGAAATATTGGGGTTCGATAAATTTGAAATCACAACATGAAGCAGAAATGATAATAAGCATATGTTGAGGAGCAATGAGATACCTTGACAGCTCTACTCCTGGGTGTCGAAGATTTGGACTTGTCTATCCCCCAATCTTTCTCAGCTTTCTTCTCAAGCTCAGCCTGCTTGCAGTTATCCTGATGTGCCCGCCGAAATAACGATATGAAATTCCGAAGAGTAGTCACTACTGCATTAACAATAAGGCAGAAATTATAATTCCAGGTTGAGAACTTCCGCTTGAGAAACAAAGTTCCCGTAGCATAAGGAACTTATCATCCATGCTGATTGCTTTGTGGATTCCTTCACATGCCATAGAGAGAAATAGCAGTTTACAACATGGACAATAATTCCTACAGAAAGTACTCAACAGTGGAGTCCTTGGTAGATGTTTCTCCCAAACATTGGCTCGTCATCCTAGCCTTTTCATGTCCTCTGAGCCCTTCCAAACTCTCCATGTTAACTTATTCTAGTCACGATATATACCTAACTTCTATTGCCCATTCTTCACCACCATTCAAGACTTTCTAGACATGTTTCATGTCCTCTGAGCCCTTCCAAACACTCCATGTAAACTTATTCCAGTCATGATATATACATAACTTCAAATGCCCATTCTTCACCACCAGTCAATATCGAAGGCTCCTGATAATAACTCCCATATGCACTAGTAAACGAAGCAGCCAGTTGGAACAAACCTTCCAACCCACCATGCAAACATGAGATGTTAGGTCATAGCTTTCCTGAATATTGTTGTGTGTCTTCCCTCTTATCACACTAGCCATAAAGATTCATTCTCTTTGCTCATATATATAAAAATATATGTGTTGTATCACACTAGCAATACAGATTCATTCTCTTTGCTCATATATATTAATATATATATATAAGTGTGTTGTGTGTGTCTGAAATCATACTTAACAACCACTAGCAAGAAATAATTTTTTTTATTAAGAATAGAAGGAAAATAAAAACATTATTTTTGAGTGTTCTAGCGACTAGATCGATTTCACATTTCATGTCATATCTTGAGCCTACTTATCTATTTCAGAGAGATAATGCTGAGACATCTACTTACTCCAGGGTAAGAGAGAGATTAAGGCTTCAAACAAATTTTAACAACTAAGAAAGCTGATCATGAAATGATAGACAGCCACACGTACAAGAGATACTGCTTTTTTTTTTTCTTTTCTTTACATTGAATCAGCAGTTTGTGCCTGTGGAATTATTATAGGTTCTTTAGTGACATCTCAACAGAGAAGAGGTAAGCAAATCTACCACTGCAGGAGTCTAAAGAATGATCCAATATCATACCACCAAAATAACAACAATGGGAGTTCCTATCTCCCATCGAAGGAGAAGTTGATCATCAGACCATTTCATCATTTAAATTTGCAATACTGAAAAGGATTGTCCAACCGCCTTTGCCATGAATAAGCAGGAAAGCAACATGGAAATATGCAGGGCATGCTTACAAATAGATGGAGTTGTTTAACAGAAATCAGCCACCAAAGTTACCATGAAAAGAAATTTATTTGACCAAGTAGTGAAAACTGACCTTGTTCAAAAGAACATTGTGCAGGATCTTCGCCAAAGTATAAGGCAAGGGCATCTGCTTTTCTACCCTGTAATGGATAAGAACAAGTGTTACTTGAAACTAAGACAGCATTCACGAGTTACACTACTAACTGGTGACCTACCACTTCAGTATAAAGCATTGTTAAGGATTGTACTTCAGCTGCAGCAACAGCAGTAAACTCCTTCAGGGTCTGATAATTTGATAACATAATTTCAGCTATAAAAATAAGAAAATGAACTGATGTAAAATAGGGCAAGATTTTAGCAAACATAGATCAGTCAACAGTTACGAGCAAAATCTCTTCACAGAAGAATATGGCAGATTAATACCAATATTCATGGGTTGCAAGTGCTGATACCAGGCATTACAGTGAAGTTTAATCATTTTCCTAAAGTAGCTTCATTAAGGCCATTGAGCCAAGTCCATATTTCAAATGAGATCATCCCCTATTACTCCCAAGCATTACTGCTACCATTAAATTTTATTTTCCTCCAAGCTAGGTATTCCTAATTCAAACTGAACCACCATCCTTGAAGTTTAAAACAAGATGATGGTGTTGTTATAGACCACAAGAGAAAGCTTAACATTTTATACTTCATCTTAGTGGGCAATGCTTGGCAGTGGCAAACAGTCAAGCAACAAAAATCAGCCGGGTTTAATTGGCAGATGTAATATAATCATTGACTCATGCCTCCAAACATGTTATCAAACAAATAGAGAGAACAAGACCATGGTTTGCTTTACTAGTTTGTACTGATGTACCGCCCGTTCGTTGGTACGATATGTACTTGTGTACTAACACATGTTATAGTAGGGCGTATTGATAGATCAGTATGCACCACCCATATCGGTCCTCTATTAGACCAGTATGTACTGTACTGCCCATATCTAGCGGTACAACGAACCTTAGGCAAGACCTAACAACGCTTAATAGGAAAGACATATTTTTAGACATTTGGAAGCCTTTGAGCAAATGGCATGTGTGTTACTTTGAAGGATAGACAGATGCTGAACCTTTAGAAATACTTCAGATATAGGGCCATCATTTTCAGAAGCTTGCAGCTCAAACCCGACCTTCTCCAACCCTTTGACTACGGCCTGCATTTCTTCAGCCAAATATTTCAGTTGTATCTGCATAAAATTTGTTTCAGAAAAACCTATAAACTGCATGATGCTCAGTTTCCATATTGCAAATAATGGTAGTTAACTGACTGAAACCTTAGATGCAGCTTCCAAACTTGTAATATCCTCATGAAAATCCAGAAGATGTGGGGACTTGATAGCAAGTGCCTGATTTTGTTGCAACAAAAATTCAATGAGATTGTATAAAAGAATTCTTAGAGCCAAGAACATTTTGTATCAAAAGATAAACGGATGCAAGTAGAACTTAATGATTTCAAACCTGATTGACTGAGCTTTTAATTATATAGTAACCCTAAAATGGTATATAGTATATACAGCAACATTGTCCATTCACTGATGATTGTCTAATTTACTTCAATTACTAAAAAGTGAGTCATGTTTAAAGAGCCTATTATTTGTGCATGAATAAAACCTTAAATTTTCCTTGATCATTTATGGGCAGTAACAGTCATTTCTGGAGTCCAGAAAATTTTTAAAGTTTGTAAGCTGAAAAAGAAAGAGGATCGATATTGGATACAACTTTTCTTTTTCTGCCATTTAAAATTGTCCCCTATAGTAATTAAATGCCTAAGAAACACAGAACTTCAGCCTTTTCTTTCTCAATATTTAACACTGCCTAAAAATAATTTAAAAACATTCCTTCTGATTAATCAAAAGTACATAGTACAAAGCTATTCAATCTTGATCATTTTAGCATAGTTATAGACTTGGAGTAACACAAGATCCTACAGAAATAAAGGAGAAAGAAAATCACAACACAGA